AAACTGTCTATTCAAAATTTTGGCCTTTTTTAGTTAAATCATGTAGTGGAGCAGCAATAGTTGCCAAGTCCTTCACAAACTTCCGGTAATAGGTACAGAGTCCCAAGAAACTTATTAACTCGCCCTCATTGTCTGGTGTTGGCCAGTCACACACTGCTTTCACCTTGTCAGGATCAGTTTGCACACCATACTCACTTACAATGTGCCCCAAGTAAAGCACCTCTTTCTGGAACAAGTGGCATTTCTTGAGATGGAGTTTGAGGTTTGCTGCTTTCAAACGCTCAAATACTTCCTCTAACCGGGACATTTCCTCATCAAAAGTTGTTGCAAATATAATGACATCGTCCAGGTACACCAGGGCTATCCTCCATTGTTGGCCTTCCAATACTCTTTCCATCAGCCTCTCAAATGTTGCTGGAGCATTACTAAGCTTGAATGGCATCACTCAGTATTACCAGAGACCTTGGCCATAACTAAATGCAGTCTTAGGTCTATCTGCTTTCAGCCATTTTTACTTGATGGAAACCTGACTTTAAGTCCAGAGTTGAAAACCACCTGGCTCCACTTAGGGCATCAAGAGTATCATCAATTCTTGGCAGTGTGTATGAGTCTTTTTCGGTTATGCTGTTAAGAGCCCTGAAGTCCACACAGCAACGTTGGGTCCCATCCTTCTTCTGGACCAACACAACGGGAGCTGACCAGGGACTATCTGATTTCTCGAGTATCCCTTCCTTAATTAGATCATCCATTACCTTCTCTATCTCTTGTCGCTTTGCTGGAGCTATTCTCCTCGGAGGGATCTTTATTGGATGGTGATTGCCTGTGTTTATTCTGTGCTCTACAAGGTTTGTGCAGCCGAGGTCATAATCTCCTTTCGAAAAGACGTCTGCATAATTTGCCAAAAGTTCTTTTACCTGAAAAGCCCGTGATGTTGCCAAATGAACTATGCTCTTCTTATAGAGGTCAGTTAAATGTTCTGGAAGTGTATGTCCTTTCTTTATAGTTGTACTTCTTTAACATTGACTGGCTCTACCTCCTGTTCACATTTAGAGAAATTGGCCACTGTTATAGGTACTACTTGATGATCTGCCACAAGTGACCTTCAATCTTCAAATCTGCTGGCCTAGATGGGTCTCCCACTGCTTCCACAAGCATTGGGCTTCCTTGGGATGTTCTTTTATTCTACCCCAAATTATCTTCTCTGACATAGGGGTATTGTAGATCAATGGATGCAGCAACACTTACTGGAATCTGGCCTTTGTTGTTTCCAATCGT